GACACCAACCGATCGTACTTGTTGATAAACCCAATAGATGGCTGCGCAGGTATAATAGTCATTTAGTTGGAAAATACACATTACGCAGATAAAGTGTTTCTACCACACAAAGTGGCGCCGCACAACAGGGAAGTCCAACGAGACTAATGTTTAATTTCGATTTTCATTGCAGGTGAATATGTGTATTCATTTTTATGAGAAGACTCATGAAAGTCCAACGGCGATAAATCGCACATTTTTCAACTGAAGGACGTCAAAGTTACGATCAATTTCGGGCAAAACTGAAAAAACACAGATTTGATTATCTGGATCAATGGGAGAGGTACAGGATGTGATCACTATCTACACAAACGTGGGCTATGCAAAAGTAATTTGCGCGGCTGAGACCACAGTAAAGGTGTGTTTAAACAGACCTTTGCATTCATGTTCATCGGTAATTAGGAAATGATTGGAATGGCTATGAGAACGGTGTCACTCACCAGCTCCCCTCAGCTATACTGTCTACAGCTCGCCCAGAACACCACTGCGAAGAGTCATATATTTTCCAGACATATACTGTGTCGCAGTCTTACATGGGCTGAACTAAAGTCCTTTTACGGACCATGTGAGCTAATGCTTTCTATCTGTTTGTACCCGACGAAATTCGAGGAAGCTGCCCGAAACGATCGATCCACATTATGTTATCTGCATCAGCAAGTAGAGCTCAATTCTTTTTTTGTTCAACAATCATTCCACTCAACAGACGAAGGAGTTATACTATTCGCAGTTTGCGGTAATCGAGGATGTTGACATGGCTTTCGAAGTTGGGTGCCTGGATATTCGGTAAGGACCGTCATCTTCTGCTCAGTGAAACCTTTTTTAACTGACTTCAGAAGCGTCCTACCTGGATCAAAACTGTCACCCAAGGATCTCATAGATCTGGTGGAGAAGGTGAGAACACTTCAGTCATTCTTTCCCCCCTGTGTAACAAACCAATACAAGGTGAGCCCCTCTAAACTATTCTACAAAATGAACTGCAAATAACTGTTTACAACTTGTATCCTTGAACTTACTTATTACAATGCCTCAGTTCTGTGGAATCACCAAGCAACAATCACTGAATTTCCTGACCAACTAATTTCCAGTCTTTGCGGTAGATAGATCTAGACTTATATCACCTTTATTCAACCAGATTAATAATTTTCCCCTTGAAATAGAAATGTCAATCAGTATTTTAGTTTGATTCGTGTACAGGGGCTGGGTTTCACTGAGTGAGTTCCTCTAGACCAGTTCTGTTAGCGGTCGCCTTGGGGAAGGACTGTTGTAGTGGACTAACATATCCATACACCGTATAGTTATTTATCTCATCAAAGTTCTAATACAATTCAGGATGGGAAACTTCCAGAATCTTTCAGATATATGAAAACAAACTGACTCATTTCTACACAATGTCCGATCTAACTAGTCTAATGTCTTATATTAAATATTCACCTGGAACGATGAATTTGAAAGCTTATAAATCCTTTTGAATTGACCCAGGCTTAGTGCATTACTTGACTGAGATATGGTTTTTTGCTACAGTGCAGAGTTGCCTCCAGAAGGATTTTGAATTAAGAGCCTCAAGCTATTTCAAGGGTAAAGGTATATTTTACTGACATAAACAATCGGTGCCTTAGCACCCCAAATCCTTTGTTCTGACCGATCAGAAACTCCCCCGATCCTCCCGGAAAGTGTAATCTCTTCAACACGACTAAATCCTATGCGACTCAGATCACCATTACGCTGATCCATGCTATGAACTGTATATCGGGTCATGCGTCTTGCCAACTCATAAAACATTCCTCCATTTTTCACAAAAGTTCAAAAAACTCAAGGAGTTTAGTGTTTCGGAGGTTCTAAGGAGTTACTTAGTTTTTATTTTTAGATTAAAGGTTTCGAACAGTCAACCGCATAATTTGAAGTGAACTGAAAATATCCGTAATTAAACGAACCGAAATTTATTAAAGGTTTGTGCACTGTGGGCGTTCACCTCTGAGTGAATACTCCTGAAAGACCTGTTTTCATTTCCGTCTGTCTCCTACGGAAATTCAAGAATCAAAGTACAATTGTTCCATCCCAGTCAGCAATGCGCGTCTCACAATTCCAAAGAAGGAATCGAACCTCAAACTCTTCGTATAGGAGGGAACATCCTGTCAGTAACCTCAGCGACCGACCACTAGCGTGAACAACTTGCAACTAGGATGGCTTTTGCTAAAGCCGGAAATCTTTTTTGGCTGCGAATGTGACGTCACATGAAAATTAGAAACCGACCATAGTAACCAAATTTGGTCTTTTCTTCACGAGGGATTCTCTTGTTGAGTGCTTTCTCATCATGAAAGCCCAGTACTTGAAATCAAGTAGTCCACCCAACCCGGCTTATCGTACGCGAGAAACTGATTCCTGTTCTTATGGTATAAGACATGCTGTAGCCGGACCTGGCAGAGGGCAATCGTCATCATCATCGTCATTGACAGCCTTATAAACATCCGAGATGGGTACTTACAACATCTAGCCAGACAATCTGTCTAGAAACTGGCAGCATGAGTGCTACTGGCATCTGCTGATGGCTGATGGATGAAACCCATATTGGAAGGCAAACAAAACCTCTGTTTCAAGTCACGTGAAACCCATATTGGAAGGCAAACAAAACCAACGACGCCTAAAACTTTCATAACATTCTTCTGCCATGTCGAATTCCGTTCTCTAGGTTTACGCTACTGCAAATCAAGCACCAAAAACGACACACTTCTTGGTGGGCGGTAAATCGACATAACGCATGGCTCAGCCTTATCGTGCAGTTCGGGATCCATTCTTTAAGCGATGTGCCTTCTATCTTAAAACATACCTTTTACCTGGTCACCTAGTTCCGAATTCCCTGATTTCAATAGGTTTTTATCCGTATTTTTGAGGTATTGAGGGTCAGAGACCTGAAGGTACCACAGATCCAGTGACCAGTTCTTCCAAACATACAAAAATACGCGTTCTTTGAGGTCCAGTTATATGTGTCTCTGATGTCACAATTTGCATGAATTGAAGAAGGCGATTCTGGCCTTTGATATTTGTACGCTGCTTGGTTTTCCACAGGACAGGAAGAACTTCAGAACCGTTAACTGTCGATACATCGAATAAAACTCAAAAAGAAATCAGTTAAATTTAACCTAGAGCAATATTTCAAAGATGGTGTTCCTACTAGCTACGTTGTTAGGTCACGGTGTTGTCAAGTTCTCCAGATTTTTCACCGAAATCATTCATGTATCAACTGACACTAGGAAGCTGCTATTCGAATATGCATAGCTATTTGACCCGGCTCGCTTTGCTGTTGATTGATTTCATGTACATTTGTTTTTTGTTTACAGGGTAGATCACTGAGACGTGCTGTGCAGAACTATTTGCTAAAAATCAAACACTACACCGAAGAGGATTGTGTTTTGGATATGCTCAACCGTTACTTGATCTTGCTACAGTTCGATCGCGACGTGATCAGGTGTTCCTTCGGGGTGAGTACCATCCACGTTTGACATCTTTCCTAACCGGCAAGTCAATGATTTCCCTGATGAGGTTTTCATTCTGCGACCATGTGAACTTTTTTCAAGAACTGAATGGTTAACAGTTGAAAGAACCAAAAATATTTCAACATGTTCTCCTCGCTTGGTGGTCCAGGATGAAGAATATTTGATAGGTCCGAGCACAGTCAGACTGGGTTTATTGTCACGTGACTTTCACAGACTGTACCAATTCAACTTAAAGGACCACTTCAACATGGTCATGAGGTCAATTTACATTTTACCTGCATTGTATACTGGAAACAATTCAAACGTTCTCGTGGTTTCAACAAGCAACGAACTCAACTATTGTTGTAAGTGTATATGGAGTGGTTAGAAGTGGCAGGATAAGTGGTAAAACCCGAATAACCAGATCTGAAGCACCTTGGAAAAAGTGGACGCGTTGAAGTTGAGTTTGGAAAATTGGAACGATGTTGGTGCCAACAGATACATTCCGTGCACGGAAGACTGAACCGCAGTAACTGAATTAGAGGAATTCTCGTCACCTAACTCAACACTTTTGCGAGTGTAGCTCTAAAGGACATGAGCCTTAAACATAGTAGCCCTAGTAATCCTGACTTCGAAGTTTACGTCCAGTCAATCGACATTTAGTTTCAATCATCCCGCTCATTTTCAGGAGGCTCGAAACGTCATTTAGAGGTCATCCAGAGTACCTCCTCAAAAGCCTGAATGAAAGTTGTGTGTTAGCTTGCTAACGCTAAGAAATCCGTCAAAGTTGTCCCCTCCTGGCCTTCGAAATTGATACCGTTTGGTTTCACTGTATCACACCCTAGGAAGGTATTTGCTTTTTGCGTAGCACGTCGCTTGAGCTATTGACTTTGGGCAACTTCCAGTTTAGCTTTGTAGAACTAGAAAGCTAAGCTCATGCTTTGTTTCAACGTACTTGTCGAGAGAAAATAAGATAAGATAAATCGATATGTGAACTGTTCCAGCCCTGCATTACTGAGAAAGACTGTGACATGTCTGGCATGTGACCGACTAGCTGTGCGTAGGCTAGGACAAAGCAAGTGGAATGTCGATTCCCAAAATGTCATCCTACGAGCTGTTTCACTCAGTGGCTTTTCATCCATTCATAACATTTTTAGTATGGATTTCTGAGGTCCAACGAAATTAACAAGTTACCAGCATTTTGTGAACTTTCGCCTAATGATTCTGCAGCACCAACAAACTCCGTTATCTGAATATACGTTTGTGCAGATGCAAATGTTCACGTGACTTTTGTCATTCTTCACCTGTCACACCGAAGACAGAACGATGCTGTGACTGGTATGGTATTCCGAACTTTCCATGTCTCTCTCTCTCTGGGTGTGTGCACGCGTATGTGAAGCTGATTGTTTAATGTCCTAACTTGATTCCTTTTTCTCAAGTCACAGCATTCGTCTTGATTTCAGGCTGGATACGGTATACCTTCGAACTGGTGATGGGCCAAGATTTCAAGTGTCTATCACTGTCGAAAATGCCAGGCAGGTAAGTGTAACCTCGAGAATTATTCGTAGCTACAAAAGGAAGCATGCCAACATATCAGAACTGTCGAATACAGTTTTATTACGCTTAATATTTTAGGAAAGATGAGAAGTACCTAGTGACCTTGATTTCTATTTATCACACACACGTTTGGAACTGGTCACAACTCATTCAATAAAACTTCTGTGTAAGCCAACTGTCGGTTGCTCCCGCTTCGGAACTCGTGGAAACTTTACTCAGATGTTCTTAAAGTACTAATGAGAGTGAATTTTTCAACACAGATGAAAAATGTACGAATAGATAAGGGTAAAAGAACGAGAGTTGAAATGACTAGGGCGAGTATAGAAGCACAGTTACGGAATAAACTGAAAGGGATATTATCCACACCATTCAACATGAAAGGTTTCGATTCCGATAGGAGATGAGCACTTTTCACAGTGATAGTCGGAAAGCGAAAGTAAGTAGAAGAGGTGGGTTAACCTAAGCACAGGAAGAGAATTGAAGGCAAAACTTGATCGAGAATCTCTTAAGTTTACTGACGCAATGGATTTTGATTTTGCAGATGTGTCAAGTGTGTGAGGGAACGATGAAGAACAAAAGTTTCTTCTGAGTGCTTTGATCGCGCTTCAAATAAAACGGCTTCCGATTAACGCGTTTGCTTGCTGAGCTGGATTTTGTGCAATGAACTTAACGTTGATTCTGTCTATCACAGATGAGCCATTAATGTCAACAGCAAAATAATCAACCAGTGTGTAGAGACAGAGTTCCACCCGTCAATCCCTATACAGTCTCTTTTCATTTCTCACTATCCGCAAGCAGGCATGTCTGAACCATTCATGGATAGTTGCTTCCCAGGTTCGGAAAAAATTGGGGAGAAGTTGGCTCATGGCGTCAAACTTTTCGCAGAACTGAGAAATCCCCTGAAGACCAACATCTTAAGGAACATTGCTAGAAAATCGACTAACAACATCCCAGTTAGCGGAAAATTATGTCCAGGATATACTACGGGAAGAGAAAATATTTCTAGGGAAAAAACGGGTGAGTGAAAAAGGACAAGATAATGATGAGCAGAAGCAAGGCAGCAGAGAATGTTGTACGGCATCGTGATGAATGGGACATTAAAAAGAACTCAGCGGCTTCCGTTTTGTGGGTAGGAACTAGAGTTAGATAGCAGACAAGCTGGGCAAGGGATTAAGGGAGAAGTCGTCTGAATGGCCCGCAGTATTTTCGTGGAGAGGAAACGAGTCATTCCTCAATAAAGATGCTAAGGTCGTCCATAACGTGAACTTCCGCAGTGAGTTCGGATTAGGGCACCTGTTCACGGTGAACGTTCAATAAAGCGAACACAGAATGAGAATCGTTACCATTTGGTGACCGACAAACGTAGTGAAAATAGTTGCGGTAATGGAAAATGTTCACTTTTAGCCCAAGTAGTTGAAAATCGGCAGTACAATAGACCAAGACAGTAAGGTGAGAAATAATGGAGGATTTGTACAGACACGCCACTCGTAAAACGGAGGCAACAGTGAGTGTATAGGTTGGAAGTCGTAAGTGGTTGAGGTCACCGGATCTTGAGTTCTTTGCTTCAGTGCGCACCAAAACAGAATGAGGTTGAAGACGGGAATTAACGAACTGGGTTCGTGTTACAGTTTCATTCGCTGATACTACACAGGGAGCTTTTAAGATAGCACAAGTTTTATGTTTCCCGTTTGTTTTGTCAGTGAAACACCGTACACGTTGTTTAGTATATTCAATTGAATGGTAGTATTCTTGGACCGTTTGTTTTGATCTTTGCCCTGTCTTATGTCTCATCTGTTCCACTGAGCACGTTCGAGGTTTCCCATTCCGGTTTTTTTGTTTCCAGTGTAGATATGGGACTGTGTATGAGATGAAGTTAAGCTTGGTGAATTATTGTAAGTTCTTCAGTCAGCTAAACTCTAGCTGGATAACGTTTCGCTGAAATAATTGCTCTCGAATTCCATTTAGGTATCCCCAGGAAGCCTTGGAAAAGTGCTACTTAAGCAAATAATAACGTTTGCACTTATTTGTCTGTTTGCCGAGCTTGGTAGTTTCATTGCAAACGTTTCATTATCAATCGAGGAGGCATCGTCAATGCGGGACTGAAACGTTTGCAATCCAACTGCCAGGGTCCGCGAACCGAACAACAACCAATCAGCGCATCCGAACTACCTATATTCCGTTACACCCACTTAGTTTGGACATAGTGATTAGCATATCAGTTTTTGTGTGTGAAAAATTATAAATGATGCTTGGCTGAAGCCCGTCACAAAGCATTTGGTGAATCACTTGGCACTGTCAAGATATATTTGATGTACGACGCCTAATTATATTACCTCGATGACTTGTGACCTATAAGGAGGTAACGCGTACTCGCTGCTGGCGATTTCAAATATAAGACGCTCAAACGGCTCCGATGTAACTGCATATCGACGCACCATTTGCCGCTGCTCAATGGCCCAACTCCAGGCAACTGAAATAAAACTATTCTGAGAAGCTATTCCTTGTTTGGTGTCACACGAGACGTGAGTATTGCCATATAGCGCGTAAGGAAACGCAGAAGAGTTTGTCCGTAACTGATGACACTGTGCACTGCGCTATCATCGCTTGAAAATCCACGGACCAAGCTGTGAATTTATTAGAAATTTGAAAAAGAAATACACAACAATATTCAGGGTTCATAGAAACGAAAGCAGGATAGCATTTTGATCGCTCGATTAAATGATATTTGAGTGACAATTTGTCCGTCTGCCTCGTTGTCTAGAAGAGGGATTCGAAAAGCACTTACTTGTTTGTTTGTCCAGCATTCTATGGTATTCAACAGTGTGCACTGAAGCCACACCCACACATCAGTGATGCGTGAAAGGAATCCAGACTAATACTACTACTAATATAGTTTATTTCTAAAGAGCACGATAACAAACACAAAACTGCCAGTGACAGACGCAAGACAACTTACATGGGAACATACAGAGGAGAGAGACGTTTCAGAGGGAGAGTATCAGCACTCATTTAGTTATTCAGGTGAAAGCTTGATATGCTAACAATTATATGTAGAGACTGGCAACTGAAGGAAGTACAAACAATCCTCAATGCTCTTAAAGGCACACTAAGCTCTATCACATTCAGAGCTCACAAATTAGATACAATATGTCTATCATCCAGGGTGAGGTGGAAAGTTTATAGGCAAAAAATAACACTCGACGCCTTGTGCCACGCACAAAAGTATCATAAGCGAAGAGCCCAAAATAATGAGCAAACATATTATACTATCAGTAACTTTAGGAATCTACAACATAACAACAGCCTTGGTGAATTGAAGAAAGAACTTAGGTCGATAAAGAATAATCGTCAGTTATTAAACGAAAAACACATTCGTGGAAGGTAGAACTGTGATAATAGCCATGGAACATTCTTCGACACCATGCATATACAACCCATTTCACATAAGTGTTCCGTGTCCATCGGACGATACATTGACGTCAGACTTCTAAACTCTCAGACGACCGAGACGTTTTCCTAGTCCACTTGCAACATGATTTGACAAACACAACAAGATCGCCTCTAATTAAACGGGATTGCGGAATGTGCACCACGCTCTCCGGTTGACACACTTTCCAAGGCAGAAAATCCTCCGGTCATCATGACCACTTCCTCAATTCCAAAACTTGATGCCGCGGATAAATACCTGAGGGCACAAATTTTTTGAAAAAGTCAACCGTCGATTGGAGAGGCAAAGTTAGCAGTTCCTAGAGGTTCCGACTATTGACGTTCATCCAAATCAGCCACTATTTTTCCGTCGGCGCTTACACATTGGGCCCGGACCGGAAGGGTGATATCATGAAGAATTGTGCCAAACACAGAATCGTCAGCCAGGTTGCGTAGTACTGGACAGTACGTAGGTAGCAGCCTTTCTATACACGCTCTTCATTGGTTGCACTCATTCCTAGGACACTATGACTTCCGTGTTGTTTGCCGGTGTGGACGCAGCTTATAAGGAGTGTTTATCAACAGATGTGGTGAGCCGTGAACGGATTATCTGATTTACTTATTCGTCCATTGAAGAGTTTACAGGTGGTTGCCGCTGAGCACGACCGGATGAGTCAGCCTCCATACTGGGTTGGTTCGGCTTCAACGGGGCATGCATCAATCGATCATACAGATTTAGCGGCTGCTGTGGCTGGTTGTAGACTCCTTCCCCATGACAGTAAATCAAACTAAATAAGTCGCGGTGTCCGTTATACTCATAGGAGTGAAGGGTTCCTCGGAACAGCGAGGAATTTAACTAAAAACGCGGTCGCCCGGCGCTTGCTGTCCTCACGTTTCACAATAACTTTCATTATTCAGGCACTGCTTGTCACAACAACTAGTGTGAGTTCGACCTCAGTGACCTCCAGCTTCTGGTTACAGCAGGCCTGAATTTCTACAAACACAAACCAGTCATCATCCACTGTAATTTCATGGTACTGGTGAAAGAAAAAAGACCTTCGCTGAGCGGTCGTTTATTAGGAAACGCCAACTAGACCAGTTACAACCTATTGGACAGGGAAGCAAAACTCTCACATGCATCTTGTTTACAAAAACTGAATATCCACGTTCTCCTTGAACGCGTCTTCTTGAACCTTCCTGGATATTCACTGACTGTTGCTCAAATGCAAGCAAATGCTACAAAGCGACTCCACGAATTCCTCCACAGATTTCCCTTTTCAAGAGACGCAAAACGAATTTACAAGGAGAAAACATACTACTCGCATGCCTCCCCCATCAGTAGTATCACCGTTACACTAGTAGCCCATTTGGGGAATGGAAAACCCAACAACGTAAACCATCCTCATGATGAACAACACTGTGGAGAACGGTTCTCGCCTTACTCCTCTGAAGTATTGAACCTCCGAATGAAGAAAACTGCTATAGCGTCCTCGTAGTACTGTGTGGCATTTTTAACTCGTAGTGAAGGTTTTCGAAACAACTCGGTGGGTCTGATA